GGAGAGGGGAAGGAACAGACAGCAGCAACCAATAGTAACAACAGCATAGAGAAAGTAAGTTTTACACTGTGAGCTACATAGACCACTCAAATGCAAAAATAGAGAAAAAATATCCCTGGGCAAGAGAAAAAACAGATTTGGGGAGGTGGGCTTGAAATCTGGAATTTAAATAGCTTCTGTGGGTTGATCTGACTCACCCTCCCACTGTTTCCCACACAATAGTTCAGTAAACAGCTGGCTCCATTCAGTGATTAATAGAAAGAAACTAACTCCAAAAAATTAGGCAAAAGAGGAAAAAGAAAAAAGCAAATGAAGCTTTTGCCACAGGAAGTTTTTTCAGGAGACAGAGGAACAATTTATATAAATAACTCTCTGGAGTCTCAAACAAATATAGACTTGATCTCCAATAGACTGAGAAGCTCAAATAAGAAAGAGATAATGTTTCAGTGAAGCAAGGATAAAAATACAGAAAGAGATGAAGAATGAAATAGCAGAGACCAAGAGAGCAATAAAAAACCAAAACCATTATGAAGTTGAAAATTACATTAGAGGTTATGCAATAGAATAAACTCAACTAGAAATTCACTTGGGTAATGGTTAACAAAGACTGACAAAGCATTTAAAGATTCAAAAGTGATTACAAGGAATGTTATAAATAGTTATAGAAACAAAAGAGATTTAACACGATTAGCATTCCTAAAGAAAAAAGTTACTTAGACATAAAATTGGAGAATATCCTAAAATAAAGATTAAAATTTGGAATAAAAAGGCACAAATTCTCTAAAACATCTTGCTTTGAAGAAACACTCCAAATTGCAACAGTCTTCAGATTTAACCTCCGATTTTTATCTTAAGTTAAAGTAAAAGTCAATTTAATTTTTAATTATTTAACAGCAGCATATATGGTATATATGGCTTCTACATGTATAAAATTGTGTCTACTATACAAGCATTATCTATACAGAGGAATCTAGCATAATATTCATGAAATGTTAATAATTTACCAGTGGGTGGGGTTTTGAGTTTTTAAATTCCTGTGATATCTATCTTTATTTTTAACAATCATGTATAATTTTTACAAGTGACAATTAAGTCACTGGAGTAAAAAAAATAAAGAAATGGAAGGCAAAAATTAATTGAGAGAAAAGAAAAATGAAAGATCTCAATTGTCCCACTACCTCTAGATTCATGGCCCTCCAAATCCCAGATCACACTGCATTCAGGTGATTTCTCTAAAACAGAATCATAAGCATGTTAGTTTTCATTTACCATTCTGCAAGATTACTAGTAAATTGACACTAATCTAGATCGAATCCCATCTTCTTAGTAATTTACATAAACCTATCACGAATCCAGAACCTTTGAGTTTCTCCAACAACTCTCATTTCCCTGCCTTCACTCTTCTGACTGAAACCAACTCAATCTCCCCATAGAATTGATAATTACAGTTTTTCTCTTTTTGCATAAACATATTACTGGATACTCCTGGTATTAAAGTTTGGAACTTGTGTTTGTTTTAGCTGGGTTCTTTTTTCGGGAAAGCAACCCTCAGGTCTACAATATCAAGGAACTGAAACTCACCAGATCATGGCATCCAGACAATGAGATGCCAGACCCTACCTACTAGCTCCTCTTTCTCACCCCTCCCTGATCCCTGTTGACCAACTCCTCTTTCTCACTTGTCCTTAGTTCCTATTTTCTACCCCACTATATTAACCTCTGAATTCAGAGGGACAGTGAGACAGATTTGAGAATGTATCTTCTGTCTTCCTTGGCTGATATCACCCAATAACAAGTCTTCTTCCCTGGTAATACTCATTGTCCCAGTGATGGGTTTTCTTTTCTGGGAGCAACAAGACCTTGACAGAACCCCTGGCATTCAGTAACACCTCTATCTGCCATGAACTAATAAATAATTTGTAGTTTGAGTTTTCCATGATTTTCTTCTCTTCTCACAGTTCAGGAGGTGATAAAAATGTGCTTTTGCTTTTTTGTTTGTTTGTGTGAGTGGTGGTTGGGGGGCAGTCTAGAAGAACACCTAAATAGTCTGTAAAATTTAGTTCAGTCACCTCTGTGAATCCTTCCTTGCTATCATCCTCATTCCTTCCCATCAACAAAGTTTCAAAGTCATGTTCATCCTTTACCCACCATCTAGATCAGTGCTGTGCCAAGCAATCTTAGATCCTGGAGCAAATGCAAACATTATTAAATCTGACCCCATATATATTTAAAATTTGTATATTTTAATCATAAGTTTTTTGCATTAATTTTGATTTTTTACAATCTTGACTTTAAATGTCATTTATCTTGATCATTGAGTTTTTTGGTGCCCCTGTATGTATTTGTGTTCAAGATGATGGTCTTGGTGCTGCTCTAAACTACTGAAGCAATTGTGACACTTCCTAAATTTCTGTCTACATATCTACCATCATCAGACTGTAATCACCTTCAAGGAAAGGGGAAAGTTTTGTTTATCTCTGTCTATCTAAAAATCAGCAAGGTATATGTGCAGCTTCCTATTTAATAATGATGAATAAAAACCCAGAAAAGATAAATAACCAATATTTCCTAGTCTTTAAAGAATATCATTTTCCATGGGGAAGAATATATCCAATATAAATAGAGAGGATTTTGTTTTTGTTTTTGTTTTTGTTTTTTGAGTTGGAGTCTCATTCCATTGCCCAGGCCGGAGTGCAGTGGCACACTCAGGCCACCCCAGCATCGACCTGCTGGGCTCAGGCAATCCTTCCACCTCAACCTTCCAAGTAGCCGGAACTATAGGCATGCACTACCATGCTTGGCTATTTTTTTAACTTATTGTGGACATGAGATCTCGCCAAGTTTCCCAGGCTGTTCTCAAACCCGTGGGCTCATGCAATTCCCTCACCTCGGCCTCCCAGAGTGCTGGGAGTCACCGCACCCAGCTGGAGAGGGTAAAGAAAACCTTAACTTGAGGCAAGTCATCAACTTAAAGTAAGTAGAACTAATTTTTTTTTCCATAAATGTCTATTTGTAGCACAAGGAATTGAGTGTATTTCTTACAAAAAATACGCTTGTATTTACTGTGAGAATTAGAGGATATTAAAATGAAAAAAATCTTAGATATTATTTAATCTACCCCTCCTTGTTATAAATAAGGAAACAATCCTAGAGAGGTTAAGTGGCTTATCCAAAATCACAATGTAGTCAGAACTTGAAGTCAAGTGACCCATCTCTCCACCTGGGTATTTCTACTGGCAATTATTCACAAATTTAGAAAAGAAGACCTTTGAAAACAGAAAAGTAGAAAATGAAGACTTTTTTCTAGGCAAAGCAGAATTGACCAGTTCATGGGTAAAATAAACCACAAATATATTCTTTATGTGTTGCTTGAAACTCAGTTACTGCTAAGGTGAGGTTATTGAAAAATGACTTTCAAAGTTCATTTCAGCCCGTGCTTTCTTCTTTGTCATGATCTTCTCTGTGCCTCATTTCATCTATAAAAGAGACTGACTTTCCTCTCAGATTACCTTAATTCAAGATTTGTGAGGTCCAATTTAAAGTATACATTATCCAAAGTACTAAGTAGATGCACAAATGCAAGTCATTTTTAACAGTGGATTAACCATGTAAATATATTTTTATACCTAGTCATGCTTGGGGAAAATTGAAAGTAATCACACAGCAGTTAGTGGCCAACTTGGAATATAGATACCGATACCAAATAAAACTATTCTGAATTTCATCTGTAAAAGAGACATACAAAGTTACCACTGTCAGACAGAATTATTCCTCTTCACAGATTACCAGGACTTTGAGCTTCCCTATATATTCTTGTGAGATTTTCTAATAGTGAAAAGTGACTAAGTTTACTTAATGTGCCTGAGTTATTGCTAAGATAGAAATGATGACTGAAATTAAAATCATCAATTATTATTAATATTATGTACAAATGAAATAATTTATGTTTATACTAATGATTAGACTTTCTGTTTAACTTGCTCTTCAAAAACAGGCAGCCCACAGAATGGGAAAAAATATTTGTGAATTGTATATCTGCAAAGGTCTAACTTCTAGGCTCTACAAGGAACTCAAATGCTCTAAAAGGAAAAAAACAAGGAGCCCCATTAAAAGTGGGCAAAAGACATGAATAGACACTTCTCAAAAGAAGATATACGGGCAGATAACAGACACATGAAAATGTGCTCAGCCTCACTCATCATTAGAAAAATGTAAATCAAAACCACATTGAGATACCATCTAACCCCACTAAGAGCAGCCATCATTAATAAAGCAAACAATAACAGATGCTGGCAAGGATGCAGAGAAAAAGGAATGCTTCTACACTGCTGGTGGGAATGCAAACTAGTGCAACCTCTTTGGAAGACAGCGTGGCGATTTCTGAAAGAACTAGAAATTGACCTTCCATATGACCCAGCAATTCCCCTACTGGGGATATACCCAGAGGAACTCAAATCATTCTACAAAAAAGATACCTGCACATGTATGTTTGTTGCAGCTCTATTCACAATAGCAAAAACATGGAACCAACCATGTTGCCATCAAAGCTGATCTAGCTAAAAAAAAAATGTGGAACATATACACAATGGAATATTATGCAGCCATAAAGAAGGACAAACATGGACTTCACAGCAACTTGGATGGATTTAGAGTTGATCATATTCAGTAATCTATCACAGAAACAAAGAACAGAGTACCATATGTTCTCACTCATAAGTGGACCTTGAACAATATAATACTCTAAGAAAGGGATCGGCAGTAGTGGGAAACTGTCAGGGGAGAGGGAATGAGATTGGCAATTGAGGGAAACTGCTAGCGGAGGGAGGGGCATACCTTATTAACAAGGGTACCTGCATAATCAACATTTGTATCCCTAACCCTGAATTGTACCCCACATCTTTATAATAATTTAAAAAAGAATCTTTGGTTGAATTTGTTCTTTCTGTTTGGTCACCTGATTTATTTTTAATTCTTCCTATGCAAAGACAAGAAAAAAAAAAAACTACGAGTTTACTTGGATCTCTGGTCTACAAGTCTAAAATCAATTATTTTTATCCCTTTAAAACCCATAAAAGTTATAGGAGATTTTTTTTAAAAAAGAAGTCAATAAAATATTTATTAAAAATAGGTCAATAGATAAGCAAAGAGTGAGAGCTCCTCATCGAAAAAATATACCTCATTCCATCAGACTACTGAACTATCATAGCTTGTAACCACAATTCCAGGTATTGTCCTTGAGGCCAGAAATCTATTCACATTCATGAACTAATTTATGATAAGCTTTTTTGTACAAGTCCTCTTTATTAAATATATACATATATACAGATTTTACTGGGCCTCATTTTACTGGAATCAATTTGTAAATGAGGGATTTGGATTGTGTGATTTCCACAGCATCTTACAGTCTTAAGATTTCCATACCATCTTACAGTCTAAAGATGTGTTGATTCTATGAAATACCTAAGGAGAAATACCAAGAAAGAATTTTGATATTACTCACAGTTAATATTTGGCATTTGCACGTTTTAGAGGTCTCATACACATCCATTACAAGGCAACACAGTAACTGAAAAGGTTATGCCAATAATTTTTTTTCTAAAATAAATAAATAAATAAATAAAGAGTTCTGTCTGCAAGGTGACCATTTCTATCAAAATGTCCCCCAAAACATCCAGAACACATTCACTCACACATCTCCTGAGCAGGTAGAAAGAGAAGTATAGAAGAAAAATCTGGAAGCAACACAACATAAGACAAGATCTGGATTGAGCTGCATAAGACAGCTGCAAAAAATTAAATTAAGTTGTTAGACCTACCTCATGAAAAAGAAGGTGGTACATGAAAATCCTAATATATTGCATGACAAGAGTCAGTGGCATCCTACTTTGTGACCTTAATTTTTTTTCTTCATTCCTTTCCTTTGTTGCTCCTTTAATTTTGAAATACTTACCTCTGTTATGAAACCTTATCAAAACTCCCAGAATCACACACAAAAACTGCCCAGAAATAGAGAACTATAGACACAAAAATTCCCCAAAAGTTTAGCATTCCACCAGCTTATACATAGATCTATGATGGAAAAAGCTCCTAAAAGACCTGTGTTGAGTTCCTGTTTCTGATGATTCTGTGATTCTAATCAAATTTGAACAGGTAATCTATTAAACCATATAGTGCCCAGATTTTTACTTTCATGTACACAGTGTTTTTTGCTTATAGTACAATCTACCAACCCTCATTATATTTTGAGAACCAACTGCTGAAGTTGTACTAACATGTATTTATCTCAAAGTGGCTATGTGAACAAATATACTTGTTATCCTCTATCAATATAGGGGAAACAAATACTTGAATATGTTGCCAGACTCTAAGTAAATGTCCTTCTCTAAAGAATGCAATGTCCTCTGCTAGTTTATGGGTTTTGGGGCATGCATTGACTGTTCTACTTTTTAAGTAATATTGTAGTAATGGTGAAAGAGCTTTCCTAGAGAGACAGTGTCTAGCATAGTGCCTGGGACACAGAAAGCTCTGAATAACTATGTAGTGAATGAATATATAACTGAATGAACTACCATGAAAAAGAATTTGTACAATAAGTTAAACTTTGGCTCAGAGCACGAAATTTCAAGTCAACTGTTAAGTAATGTTTGGTCAACATATGAAAGGGAACACATTTTCTCTCGTTCTATGTCTTTGTTTTTGAAGCAGCAGAAGTTTCACTCTATGAATCAGTGTTGATATTGTTCCATTTCCTTTTACCAATGTTTCCTTTAACAGGGAAATTCCTTCTCTTGCAAGTACTAAGGAGGATCACCAAAGGTCACTACATACGATATCCAATAAACAATTTTGGCTAAGGGCAGTACCACTGGGAAATTTAGGGTGGCTGGTTAATATTCATAGGGTATATTTTAAAATGTCATAGTCTATTGTCAAATATCAGCGCAAAAATATGCACCACGTATCGTTAATAGCCCTATCGCTCTTGTCCGAACTTTCCAGGATGGTCTGTATTCTGTCTAATTTAAATGCTGTATTCTTTTATAATCATTTTTTCGAGAAGATAGTTCTTTTTTTTTTTCTTCACAGAGTAATTAATTAACTCTCCCAATAACTGGCTTGTATTTTTAAATGGAAAAATTACATAGAATTTTTATTTTAGTAAAGAATAATTGTTTATATTTAAAAACATTTAAAAAGACATTCTGCATTTTCATCATCTTGTAGCAAACTCCTATAGCAACGACATTACATTAGACTTTCTGATTTCTCCATAGTGTCCTTAGATAGGTACACAACCCAATAGACCATGTTAAATGCCCCAAATGTGACTGGAAAGAGAATACGGGCATATTTGTCTATTTTACTTGTGCCGGATCCAGCAGGTGGTGGGGCTGGGGGAGGAGTCGTGGCCGCCAACTTCCCAGAAGCCCCTATAGTATTAGCGGTGGTCTTAATCCTCCCCAGTCTGGATCCAAACACTCGCTGAGCAGAAGCAGATCTGGCCGAGGCCTGTCGGGACACATACCCAGTTCGACCAGAAGGAGAAGGAGAAGGCGAAGAAAGTGCTCTTGCAGCAGAGATAGTTTCAGCTGCATTTGCACGGCTGAATGGGTTCGGGCTGGAAGCTAAGTAAGACCGAGACGTGGCTCCAGAAGATTCTTGAGCAACCGTGGAAGACTTGCTTGAATGGTTTCCCACCTCAGTTCTGCCGCCAACATCAGATTCAGAGTGAACCAGAGCATTTGTTCTTTTTCTCATGTTCAAGTTGGCAATTGTATTCTGAAAAAGTATATTCAAAATTATTTCGATTATGTCACTTTATGCATAGTTGTAAAAAGTTTAAGGAATAAAAACACCTGAAATTAGTTATCTCCATAAAGCAAACCTTTATTAATAAGCTATAGTCACTCCCCTTGATAAAAAAGCTTTAATATACCTAACTAAAAGATAACATGCATACATTTGGGACACTGAATAAGTAATCTTCTATTTCAAAATAAGATCTATTTTTATAACTAATTAGATTTTAAATCCATAGAGAGATTAGGCTGTTAGGACTGTAAACCGAGGTTATACTTGATTTTATTTTAGGACTTGAAGACTGTACAAGTTCTGGGTTTAGTCTGATTGAAATAATATTCTGCAATATGTCATATACATTTCAAAAAGTTTTGTATACCTAGTCTCATGCAAAGAATAACAATGATAACAAGTATACTTATGCACATGACACATTCTTTGTTTAAAAAACCAAAAAAGTCCAAGAAGTTTGATTTCCAAATCCTTGGAACTTATTTTCATAAAAGAATCCTAGACAACCATACACATCAATATAAAACATAAAAATCCTGACATATTATAGTTTTTCACCACAATTAATAATGAAAATACAAGAAAAAATTAATTTTAAATAAAAGGTTGTATTAGGCATATAAACAGCATCACCAAATAGTTGCATAAGTATCTGAATTCAACTCATTAACCAATAAAGAATGATTAAATCACATGAAATTCAGTATTTTTCATAACATTTTTATATTTGTAGAAAAAGATTCGTTTGAAGAGAGCTGTGTGGTAAACCATTACTACTAATTCCCCTTATAATATTGACATGGACAATAAATAACTATATATACAGTCAACTATAGATTTTCCATGCTAACGAAGGTAATCAACGGCTCAGATGTCTCCCAAAATAGTCATGTCTGACTTTACAATATACTATGGGTGTTTTTGCAGCAATCTGTCCTCCTGATTATGTTTACCCTAAGTTATATTAGGGTCATGTTGTAACTGCCTTTCATACCTTCCCAGCTTCTCACCATTTCACGAAGTAAATGGTGAATGAAGAGATGGAGAAGCAAAGAGGAAAACGATGAAAAGAACAGCTCAAAAATGGGTAACTGAAGGAACCAACCTCGGAGGACAATTCACAGGTATTAATACACAAAGTGGGTAAGCTCTATATAATTAATATAGAGCTCATTTTAGAGATAAAGGCTTTTTCAACAAATATAACCTTTTGTAGTACTATATTCATCCAGTATGCTTAAAGTGTTCAATTCATATCTCACGGATTATGACTCCAACGTCGCTGAGTAGCAAAAGAAGACCAGTCTTACCAAACACAGAGCCAAGGCAGGCTCTGAGAAGTGTAGAAAGCATTCTTCATGTCAGCTTGGAGTATTCTTCTAAACAGTTTGCAACAGAACGAATGAGAAATTGTAGCCTACCATATGGCACCGAGTCAGGGTGGAAACAATTGAAACCCAAATTGACATCAACCTAAAAGCTGAGAAACCGTTACTTACCCTACACTTTTCATCTGTAAAACACATAAACATAGCCCAATTAATCTTTAGATTTTGAGTCTCTTCTTACAGAAGGGGACAATGATTGATTATTATTATTCTAAAATGTTATACACATGGTGAAGAATATAAAGCAGGATAGGGTTTATTTCCAAAGTTTAAAGAACATATAATATCATTGGCAAGATAACATGCATACCCACACATGACACAATCAAAGCTATAATGAAAAGTCAAATATATTCAAGAACAAAACAGTGACAAAATACTAAATATCCTAAAAAGAGAAGGAAAGAGAGCAAAAATTGAACAAACAGAAAAAAATATATTGTGTGTATATAGTGTTTGAGTATGTATATATTTGGATTTATTTTTTCAAATATAATCTGATGGTTGCATATAAGTTAGGTTATGCACTGAAAGTTAGGTTGTCCATGATCTTTTGAAATATGCATTTTTCCTAACACTGCAATGTAAGGATTGGAAAACTCCAATTCCAACCAAAATGAAGTAACGGAGAGACTGAATTTGCTCTCCTTTCTGAAATAAAAACAACAACGACAACTGCAACAAAAACTAGACAAAATATGCAAAGAAACTGCTTTTTTAAGACACTGGACATAGACAACATAGGACCACAATCACTGAGAGAGAAGAAACAAACCTGAGAGCTTCCACGCTGAGATAAAGAAAAGGGAAACGCAGGGGAAAACCAGCAGACTACCTGAGCTGAGGAGATGAAACTGGGAGTCTGGTGAGAGTCTGGAGAGACCAAAGTTCAAAAGTTCACAGGACAAAGAGTTAGAGAGGAAAATGCTGAACGAAGAGAGAACACCAATAATCTGAAGAGGGTCCACATGACTGTTTTGCTAAACCCAGATTTATGAACGTGAGGTAACCACCCAAGGCTGAACAAAGAACCACATGAAACAATTAGACAAAACAGTACCTGATGCTCACACAAAAGCAAGAATCGTGCATTTTCCCACTCTGTGGACTGGAAAATATCGACACTCATGCAGTCTTTGGTAGAGTACTCAGAAGAGGCTTGTGAGGGGAAGATCCTCAGATATTCTAGGATAATTAAAATGTTGGCTTGCCCAGAACTCATAGAGAACCTTTAGGGGGCACTGTTGCTTAATCCACACACTAGCTAAAGAACCAAGATATTTTGCTCCTATAATCCCTGTTTTTTAAGAATGACAATATTTAAAAATTAGGATGCATTTTAGTGATCAGTTTATTCTATTTTTCATTTTCCAGTAAAGAAAAAAGAACAAGAAGGTTATAATTGGCTGGAAGTAATACAGCTAGTTACTTAGTGTCAGTTTTGCCTTGTATAGTCTTTCTACTCACAAATGTGAGGAGGCTTTAAAGAACTGAACAAACTGCATCTGTCTATTTGAGACAGCCATAGTTAAATATATTGTTAAGAGGAATTATTAAAGATGTGAACATCAGAAAGGAATACGCCATGCCCTTTCAATGTTTTAATGGAACATTGCTTAACAAGCCCACTCAAAGATTACTAAATCTCGGGGATAATTTACTTGACTTTTATTTTGCTATTTAATATTTGATTAGAACCCACACACCATGAAGATAACATGTTGACCTGTAGATTTATGTCTAGTAGAAAAGATCACCAATGATTAAAGTTTTATGGACTTGTAGAATATTAAGCACTTCTATATCTAATCTATCAATCCTATTGTAGTATTCCTTTTAAAAAATGCCTACAATAGACATTCCTTAAAAAAATATTTTGAACCAGTTTTACCATCTAAGTGGTTTCCTCACCAATTAATGATTGAACAAATTTTTGGCGTATGTACATTTGTTACTTGTATGAATCATGTTTTTGATTGTCTGAAACTTATATTCTGACAATATCTACTATTGGATAAGTTATAAATATCAAATAAATAAAGTATAGATTTGAAGAACATGCCTAGAGAAAAAGGTGAACTTAAACAAAAAAGATAGGTCTGAAGTGATTAGAAAAAAAAAAGAATCAATGAAGCAAGAGAGGAAGCAGTATGAACAGTATTCCAGGATTTCTGTCAGAAAACAAAGATCAAAACTTTTTATCCCAAGTTTAAAAGTAGCAAGGAGCTAGAGTTTACTGTCTTAGTAACCACTGTTGGTTAATGTGCACAGTAGACACTCACTTCATATTTGATAAATTACATTGAAATGGGTATCTCATATATCCAGATACTTTTCTCATATGAAAAAGAAGTGTCAAAAATTTTATCTGATCTTCAGATTACTATTTCTGTGTCTATTTTACAGATATTTAGAATATTGTAGGTAGTGCCTAAGGCATATACGCTATCTTGACTCAATCTGATGTCTGATTGAGAATGCCTGAGCTGAAGAGATGGATGTGAGAATCTGGAGAGATCAAAGTGGCAACAATTCACAGAACAGTATCAGAGAGGAGAATGATTAACAAAGACAGAACTCCAATAATCTGGAGAGAGACCCCACTGAGTATTTTGCTAAGCACAGATTTATGAATGTGAAGTAATCATCCAAGGCTGAAAAAATAACCACATGAAGCAATTAGACCACACAGTTCCTGATGCTCACATCATATGTGTATATTATACCCTACATACCCTACATAAAGGAACTTGGAAAGAGATTGATTTGAGGCTTACGTCTTTGCTCTCTGCCCTGCAGTTAAATGATACTCAAGTTATTTTGTAGTTATGTCTCAAGGTCTACAAAGTAATAAGCAGTTGTCATTTTCCATGACGAAAAACCACAAAAGGATTAAGGCTTCTGCTGACCTATCTGGCACAGGACTCACTAGGCATGGCCTTCACATTTTAGAGCAACTCATGTGTCAGTCAAAACGATGCTGTGTTTCATGCAGAGTAGAGAGATCTCAGTGACTCCATCAGTATTCAGCAGATACACAGTGGTTTCAAAGGGGGAAAAGCACCTAAGCTTCATGTGAATTTTTAAAAATGTTTTAGTTTGAAATCATTTTGTCATTAGTCACAATAGCCCGAAGCAAGGAAAAAGATGCAAGGTGGCAGATTCACACTACCAACAAATTAAAGCAGCAACAGGCAAGCAGGACCAGATCCAAGCAATTCGTCAATCATGACTGTGATCTGACACAATTTCTAAAGAACTATCAACTGCAAAAAAATATTCATCTCAACTTATCACTCCAGCAGCAATGAGATGAAGTGACTAAGATCAGGTCTGCAGAATGCAAACAGCTATCTTCAATATTGCTTGCTAGAAACTAATGAAGTTTAATAAAATGTAATTTAACCCTTCTAAATTAAAAACTAACAAGGCTAATAATGAACAGGTTTATCTTCTGGAATATCAATGAGTCACATACTAAAAATAAGAAATCCAATAATGTAAAGACATTTATTCAAGGCCATCTGGACAGGAATTCAGGGGTAGCCACATATCTTTTTAATAAGAAAATAAATATGT